TAACAATAAAATTGTGTTTGAGATCATTAAAAACAAAAGCTAAAAGCAAGACAATAAATAAAAACAGTGCAGAAAATGCATTTACAAAGCAAACATAAAGCAAAAGCAACAGCAGACAAATATAAAAACAATAGCTACAGATTATCCTAACAATAAGTTACATATCTAGTTCACTGGTAAGCTGCAGTAAATAGTAATGTTTTAAGCCCTGATTTAAATGAGTTCACAGTTTCAGCCGACCTCAGATATTCTGGAAGTGGGGGGTTTGATGTAAAATTATGACAACCTAAAAATTGAATGTTTTTATAAATACACTATTTGTTCACTACACAACTGTAGCACAACTATACACACAACTGTAGCCTAATCTGATAACACAGTTTGCAGCCTGGCTGAGAGCACTTTATTTTTTTTTTTGAAAAACAGCTCTCAGGCTCTGTCGTATGAGGTAGCCCATTGATGCAGCCTGTTCTTCAGGTCTGTCTTCACCTACACATAAAAACAATTAAAAGTGTGTCGAATACTGTTGATCTTGAATGTGCTCTTACACTGACCGGGTTGTCTGGAGGGGGGGCGTGGTAAACAGTTAGCAGGTGTCGCAAATTAATAAATGGCCCCCCCTTTACAGCACCACTGTCCGCACATATGTGTGTTGTTGATGGTGACAGCATGTATGTCGGCTTTGTCGAGTGCAGCACGATGCTGGTATATGACAACAAAAAGACGGGGACCTCGACACTTAAGAGGTACATGACAAAGGCTTGCCATGGAAAGAAAGGTGGGAATCAGCCTTCAATGTCCACGTTCGTATCCTTAAAAAAATACAGTTAAAGGGACGGGCCGAGCCGGGCTCGGACAGAAGATGCACGGGCTCGGGTGGGGTCAGACTGGATCTTTTGGGCCTGATCTAAGCTTTACACAGCACTGAGGAATGCAGGAGAAACTTTAAGTGATGGCTTGTTAACAGTGTGATCAAAGTGAGAGGAAGAGACAGCGGGAACATTAACGTTAACATTAGGGTCATTTTCACAGGCTTGAACAAAAAATGCATCAAACTTAACCTTGCTTAGGTAGGCTACCTTTCTCTCACCCTTTTCTCTCCCTCTACTTTGGACTGTCGTCTCTTTGCCTTCCCTCCACTCTTGAGCGCACCGCAGTACAGCCAGACAGGCAGGTGATGACTCCGGTGCAGCGTAGTGTCACATAACATTTCATGATGTTTAAATTATCATTTCAAACTCTGATTATGGTAAGTATATGTGCGCAAATATAGGCTAT